AATGTACTAATGAAGATCAAAAACTACACCTCAATATAATGAAAACAAAAATCCTCACAACTGGACTAAATAAGCAACATTACTGTAAATGGAGAAAAGATTGAAATCGTCAAAGATTTCATTTTACTTGCACCCAAAATCAATGCTCACAGAAGCAGCAGTCAACAAACCAAATGATGTATTGTATTGCGCAAATCTGCTGTAATAGAGCTCTTTAAAGTGTTGAAGAGCAAAGCTGTTAGTTTGAAGACTAAGGTATGCCTGACATAGGCCATGGTGTTTTAAACAGCCTCATATGCATGTGAAAGCTGGACAATGAATAAAGAAGACCACAAAAATGATGCAATTGAATTGTGGTTTTGATGAAGAAAATCGAAAATGCCATGCACTTCCAGGAACGAACAAATCTGTCTTGGAAGAAGTACAGCAGGAATGGTCCTTGGAAATGAGAATGGCCAGAGTTCATCTCTCATACTTTGGTCATGTTATCAAAAAGTACAGTCCCGGGAGAAGGATATCATGTTTGGTAAAGTAGAGGGTTAGCAAGAAAGGGGAAGAGCCTTAACGGGAGGGATTGACACAGTGTCTGCACAATGGGCTCAAGTATAGCAGGGATTGTTAGGATGGTGCAGGACTGGGGAGTGTTACATTCTTTTGTATCTAGGGTTGCTGTGAGTTGGAGCCAACTCAGTGGCACCTAACAACAACAACAACAACATTTGCAATATAACAGTACTGAGCACAGGATTTTGTTACAGAAGGTAAGATAGAGAAAGAGAAGACTGAGTGGGCCGTCTGTGTAGAAGCCAGGAGGCATCAGGAGGGCACTATGCTCACGCAGAAGGGGTGAAAGAGCCTTGAGGACTAACACCACTGTATTAATTTCAAATTTTGTAGTAGCTGCCCAGCAGAGGTAGTTTCTTAGACAGGCAATGGTGCAGTGGAAAAGCATTAGCTTTGGCTTTGAGTGTTGATTTCAAATTCTACCTCTGCCTCTTTCTAGATGTGTGATCCAAGTGAAGACACTTACCTTTATCATTCTTGGTTTCCTTGTGGAAAAATACTTCTAATGCTTCTATTTTGCACAGTTGCTGTGAGGATTAAGTGAAACAATGTGCATGAAAGCACCTTGACCCCTATGTGGTAGATCCTAGTTTACTTTCTTTCCAAACAACTAAAATAATTACAGTAAGATTCCAGACACATGATAAGAAGCAAATCTGTGCTTCAGGGGAACAATAGCTTTTAAATTTATACACAGCACTATGCTTTGCAAAGCCCCTTCACATCCTACGAGTGAGCATCCTCACCCTCACTTTCGATATGAGGATAATGAGACTGAAAAAATAGTCACTTATCTCAGGTAGCACACCTGGGATTTAGGCTCAGCTTCATAGGTCCCAAGTCCAGTTCCACTTCTATTTCCCTTCCCCTAACACCACAGCTGTCCTCTTGTTCATTAACTCATCATGTATTTATTAAGTGGCTTTAATGTAGTGTGAATACAGTAAGGAACAGTTTAAAGTCCTATTTTGGAACACAACAGTAAATAAGCATATGATGTGCCAGGTGGAGATGTGGGCTATAAAAAATAAGGCAGGGTAAGGAGATTGAAGAATAACAGGGGCTGGTAAGGGAAGGCCTCACTGGAATTAATATTTGAATAAATACCTGAAGGAAGAGAGGGAGAAAACTATGCGAGGGAGAAAATTGTTCCAGGCATAGAGAACCACAGGTGCAATGACTTTGTTTTGGCAGTTGGTCATAATGAGCGAGAGGGTACACCAACGATACCACTCAAAGTCCAGGGGAGTGAGAGGAATGAGGAAATTAGCTCTTGGAATTTTAGAAGCATGGTGATTGAAGAGAAGTTCAGGATTTTGTAAACTTCTCTTCCTTGGAGTAAAAGGTGATGCTCTGATCATCTCGACCATTCTGAGTTAAGGGGCCCTCAGGCCCTGGAGAAGAAGGTGAGGGAAAGGCCTCACTTGGCTCCTCCTGGAGAAGGAGAATGTCTCTTTGGGTAACTGGTTTTGGAGTGAGGAAGCCCTTCCTTGGTGAAAGGATGATGTCAGGGATGGCAGCTGAAAGGGAAGTAGTGTAACTGTTGTTTGAGACTATGCAGGCAGCTTGGAAAGGAACAGATTAGAGGGCTGAGGAAGAGGCCGGGACAGGCAAGACAGAACTCTACACATGTCCCAGTTGAGCTGCAGCCCTGACAGGACATCACAGTTCTTCTTTCTTTTCTTGTGACAATAAATATTTATTATCATGTAGTGTTTCAAATGTGAATGAGTGAGAGCACACCAGGACAGAAGCCACAGTCTTTTTATAACTTAATCTCAGTAGTGACCTCTCATCATTTTGGTTGTATTCTGTGAATTAGAAATAAATCAGTAAGTGTAGGACATAAGACTTCTTAAGAGCTCAGATTCTGGAATCAGATGTATGATTCTAAGCTTGATCTGATACTGTTCTAAGGTATGTGCTCTTGGAAAATTAGTTTTTTGATCTGAAATTCAGTTTCGTGATCTGTAAAATACAGATAAAAGTACTGATTCCACATGATCATCTTGAGAACGGAATTAAATGACATTCACCAAGTGCCTAGTCCAGTTATCTGATAGACAGTAGTCACTCAAAAAGTTGTATTTGATATAACGGTGATATATAATGATACATATTAATCTAAGTCCATCTCATGGTCCAACTTTGGGAAAATGTTCCTGATTACCCTGGCCTTTTTCTAAGCTCCTGTAGAACTTGTTTTCATCAAAGCACTTTATTCCATTCTGCTTTGTCCTGTCTCTGATTCTGGTTTATGAAGTTAAGCCATGTCTCCAGGATTATCTATCTAGAAAATTAAAGGTGTAGTGGGATCTAGGACAGTGGGATTGTGTGGACCTGCTTCATTAGTTTCGTGCTACCCAGGAACCTTATAAGTAAAAACTTGAAAGAAGCTCCCAAAGAAAGAAAGCATCAAAAGACTTCTGAGAGGATAAAGTCTCTGTGTTTGAAGTGATACCTCTTTAATCCAATATTACTTGGCTAAAAAAGATGGCACAATTGAAAAATATTCTTATCCTCTGCCCTTCCCCCTCATGTTCCTTATCTCTTCATTTCAAATGATGATGGAATACACCAAATCACAGATCCCAAACTTCAATGAATCATATCTCATTATGGGGATTTTTGTCACATCCATCTGTCATATAATTTGCTTAATAATTTTCTTTAAATTTACTCACTTTTTTACTTAAAGCATAATTACAAAGACACTTTAAATCACAGGGGTTGGTGACCTAGTTATGCTATTCTGATATCCATTCAAACATAAAAGCAACGAAAATGAAAAGAAGTCTATTCATGTATCAACTAAAATAATGAAATACGTATTCTACACGTAGGGAGACACTAGACCAATAAAGTCTATAAATAGAGGACCGTAATTCATTAGGAAGATTTTGTAAAACAAAGGGAGGTGATGGAAATCAGTCACCTATTTTGCTGAGAACATGGACAATTTATTATGTTAGTGAAAGGTCTAAAAGCAAGGGCCTGAGTTTAATTTTCAAAATCTTAGTACAGTTTTTTTTTTTTTTTTTTTTAAATCTGAATTTCTCTGCTCTGATTCTGCAAGCCCAGCCTTGGGCATCTCTCTGTCTTTCTCTTTCTGGATGTGAAATCTCTACCCTACTTTTCCCCCACAGTGTGTGAGGTTGGGGAATGCCCAGCCTCTGCCCTTCTCTGTCCCTTCTTCCATCTTCAATTCTATGCCTCATTCATGTTATGCACTCAGGACTGTCATTGCTCAGTTATCCTTCGGGAGAGGCCCACCCTAGCGCACTCTCTCACTGTACCTCTCTTAGTGTTGTCTTTTACTTTGAAAATCACAAGATGAATATGGGAGCATCAGGTCAAGAGTACTCCCTGTTAGCTTGGAAGATTTGGGACCACTGACCTCTATTTTTAGACTTCCCTAGGACTTTTGAAATGAGTTTTGTTTTGGCTTACTACATTTTTTGGCTTGTCCACTATCTAACTGAAAGCTGCTGCCAAATAGAGACCTCTGTCTTTTTCTTTTTAAGTGAGATACAACTGAATTCAAATATCATTAAATGCACCAAAAGATGCCTTCTGTGTAGAGTAAAATCCTTCAGCCATTTTGTATCAATTCCTTTATAACAGTTAATTAGTGAGTGGTATCATATCTTCTTGTGAAGAAGATTAACACCAAAACCTCTTAGGGAACTAATCCTGGCTGGGTTTAGTTGGAAGCATTGCATATTCACTTTGTTCTGCTTGGAATCTGGAATAAAATATTCCATATTCTTGGCTACTAACCTGACATCCATTTGTAGCCCAAAGAATTAGAAACAGATACCTATGACTTGTTCCTTTCTTCTGAAGAGAAACTTAGTAAAACCAGTGACCATTTACTTTGCCCTCATCCTCCATGCCCAGTAGACTCATTCAGTTCTGAAATCTCCCAGGAGCGTGTGCTTGGCCTAAGGAAGTTCCGAAGTGCTTATATCTGGAGCCACTTTCATAGAATCACCTAGACTAGGTCTAATTAGGAATTTGAGCCATTGACTCTGAAAAGTCAATTGTTTTGACACTTGTTTACTCAACTGACAATATAATCAGTAACAGATAAGGGTAGATTTGATTTTGGGAGTTTTTGTTTGTGGAGTAGGTAGGAGCAAATATTCTTATGTTGAGACTTTCTACAGCCAGAACTAGATCTCAGGGATTAAGCAGAACTGTTCCAGCATTCTCTGATATTTGTAGGTTCCTTCACATTCCCCCAAATCTCTCTTTTACAGACATTCCCTACCCAATTCCTGTGGAGGGGGTGCACCATAGTTCATCTCTTCCTAAGAGTCTTCCTGACACTAAATTGGTAATATTACTACCCAGTTCTTATTTCCTGATATTCCTGCCCTCTTAAATGGAGAATGTCTTAATCCCAAAGAGTAGAGAAATAGGCTACTACTTACTTGGTTCCACAGTCACACGGGTTCCTTTTCCAAAGATGAGCTTGTTAGTATCACAGCACTCAAGTGGTTTCTAAAAACCTCAACAATGCTTCTGCCTTCTTTCCTCCCATTAGCACTAAGATTGGAGGATCCTTAGGACTTGGCTCTTTGAAAGATGACACTTGTTTACTCAACTGACAATATAATCAGTAACAGATAAGGGTAGATTTGATTTTGGGAGTTTTTGTTTGTGGAGTTGTTGTTGTTGTTATGTGCCATCGAGTTGGGCCGACTCATAGCGACCCCTCTTTGGGTTTCCGAGGCAGTATCACTATGAAAGTAGGATTGCCCAACCTTCCTTCTGAGGAGTGGCTGGTGGGTTTGAACCGCCAGCCTTCTGGTTAGCAGTCAAGTGCCTTAGGCACTATGCTACCAGAGCTCCTTGTTTGTGGAGTAGGTAGAAGCAAATATTCTTATGTTGAACATTTCCATACACTTTATGATGAGGTTCTCTGAATTCTTGCTTTATGGTTTTTTTTTTTTTTTTTTTTCATATTCCCATGTTCTAGGCCCATACCCAACATTCAGGCTCAGAAAACTGGCATTGCCAAGATCATGGTTTTTGGATCCGCAATTGCCCTTGACTAAAGATTTTCCAGTCACCAGTGCTGCTTTAAGGGCAGGTAACATGTGTCACAACAAGCTGTGACATGGTGGCGTGAAATACTGATCAGGTGATGTACAGCACAGTCAGCTTTACGATGAACAACTATGGCTGGTGATTGCACGAAAACAAATCCGTCTCTCTCCAAATCCACTTTCCCAAACTGCAAAGCAAAGCACTTTGGCAAATCTCTCTAGGGATTTGGATTCTGAAATTCCATGAGCTCAGAGATTTGGATTCAGGAATTCCATGAGCTAGCTCGTATAACTCTCTTTTGCAATACAATCAACATGAAATCAAGACAAGGATAGTTTTTAAAGAAACTATCTGTAATCTCTAAATATGGTTTAAGAAAATGCTGAAACAGCAATGTCACCCAAGGGAGAACAGCAGTGGGTGCAGGGCCAGCGTCTGGGGGTCATCTCCCCTGCTCCAGTCAAACTTCCCGGTCATAGAGCAAGGGGGAAGGGCCACCCAGCTGTGCTCATTACCTTGGACATGGTAGCCCATCTCAGGATTTCCCGGGGAACTGCCACTTTGCCCCTGCAGTTTTTGTACAGGTCTCTGTGGGTTTTGTAGCACTGTGTATATCCCCCCAATCACAATGCTACAGAGCTTTACAAAAACCTCTCCTTGGTTTTACATTCTGTGGGCTCTGAGAACCCCTGAGGTGAGATGCTATCTCCAAGTCAAGCAGCAAGATCAAAGGGTTTTGGCAGTCAGGGCTGGCTCATTCATCTGCTTGTCTGAGGCTCTTCTTTCCCACTGGCCAGACCTGCCCTGGAGTTTGCAACTAGAATGGACTTTCAGAAATCATCACATCCACTCCCATCTGTGCTTTCTGGCCAGACTGCCCTCAGTTGGTTTCCTGCAGAGGAGTTTATCAGATACCTGAATATCTCATGTGGATTCTACATGCTGTGGATTAGGCAGAATTTATTTGTGGCAATGTAGTTTCTCCTGTCACCTGCAAAGCTTCTGTATCACCTCTGCCTGCCCTGCTATGCAGTTTATAAAGTATTTTCACATAAATTTAACATTTTATCCTCTCCATTGGCTCCCTGGTTCCTAAATCCAGGGCCAGTAGCCCATAAGGTGCTTTGTGTGCTTTGGAAAAGGTGACCCCACTGGGTGAATGCAGAGGCAGCCCCTTGGGTTAAAGCTTGGCAAACAGATGGCACCTTTGTGTGTTTATAAAAGGCAGCCCTTTGTCCAGCCAGATGCAGCTCTATACCAGGGCCTGGCTCAGCTGCCAGAGCAGGAGCTGAAGTAGCCTAATTTGTTCCCTCCACTGAGTGCTCTTGTGCAAGATGCAACCTGTGCAGTGGACCTGGTGCTTTTTAGTTATATTATAAAAAACTGATGCTTTTTAGTTATATTCTGCTCTCAACTTTGATTTTTGACAATCATTCCTTTCTTCTTGAAAACTGTCCTGTGGGCTCTTAAGATGCTGGTTTTTCTCTGCCTCTGATCTCTGGGTCTATCACTGTGAACACAAAACAAAACAATAGGCTCACTGAAAATGACCTTATGAAACATTAACTATTAAAGGAGAATGTGAATTTTGTTACTGTTGTTGATCAAAAGGGAACAGGTTGTGCTTCACACTTTCCCCGGGGGATCACATCCAAATCTATGGCTTAATTTAAGTGTTGTTGTTGTTGTTGTTGTTATGTGCCATCGAGTCAGCCCTGACTCATAGCGACCCCTCCTTGGGTTTCCGAGGCAGTATCACTACGGAAGTAGGATTGCCCAACCTTCCTTCCGGGGAGTGGCTGGTGGGTATCAGATTATATTTGTGATCTTTATGGAAACTCCCTCCCATCCTTCCTACAACAGCATGCCTGCTCCCTAAACTTCAAGCAGCTTCATCTCCATATGCAGTCTAACATTCTTTTACTGATTAGAAACACAACAAAACAGGAAAAGAAGAAATGTTATGGCTTCGGAAACAGATAATGTGCCAAGAGGTGGTTTAGATGGAAAGTAGGAAAATGGAGAGGGCCAGATGAAAATAAAAAATGGTAACATGACTCTTGAGTATAGCTGGTTTTAGGTACTAGTTTTGAAAATGGGAAAAGGGAGGCTGTTGCTTGCTGAAGAATAAGTAAAGCTTCTAATTAGCCCATGAGATTCACTGATTTCTCCTAGTTCTGGTATACACACTTTTACAAGCAGACATCAGAAACTAGTTTAAATAGAACTGCAATAGTTATAGGAAAAAGAGCCCTGATGGTGCAATGATTAAACACTCAGCTCTAATGAAGGTTTGGTCTTCAAACCGAACTAGTGGCTCCACCAGAGAAAGACCTGATGATCCGTTCCCATAAAGATTACTAAAACCAAAAAACCAAACTCACTGCCATTCAGTCTAGTGCTACTCATAGAGACCTCTATTGGATTTCCAAAGCCATAAATATTTACTGAAGTAGATTGCCCCTTCTTTCTTCAATACAGTGGCTGGTGGATTTGAACCGCCAACCTTCTTGTTAACAGTCTAATGCCTTAGGCACTGTGCTACCAGAGCTCCTTATAAAGATTACAGCCTAGAAAATTCTATAGGGCTATTCTACTCTGTCACTTGGGGTTGCTATGAGTTGAAAACCAACTTGGCAGTACCTAACACCAACAGTTATAAAGAATATAAAGTTGAGAATGAAAAGGCAACGAAACTCTAGAGTATCAAAACTGAAGTCTCTGAGTGGTGCAAATGGTTAATTGCTTGACTGTAGCTGAAAGATTGGTGGTTTGAACACATCCAGAGGCACCTTGGAAGACAGGCCTGGAGATCTATTTCCAAAAGGTCACAGCCATTGAAAACCCTATGGAACAGTTCTAGTCTTTACACCTAAGGTCACCGTGACTTAGAATTGACTCGATGGAACTAAACAACAACAATCAAATGGGAGTTTTGGGGTGATGAGGTGTTATGGTTCCCAAATCTTCACTCCCTCCCTGTAACTGAAGTACACATCTATGAACTTTGCCAAGTAACTTTGCAGGGCCTCCTAGAGTATACATCCCTCTCCACTGACTCTGAGGCTTCACCCTGCTTTGATCCATAGAATATGGGTCTATCCATGTCAGCATAGAGCCTGATGCCGTGAAGCTCAGAAAGTATCTTCTGAATCCATTTTAAGAGTGAGATATCTCAGGTTCAGAGGAGATAAACTAGGAAGTAACAGATCTGTGGCCAGAACCCACATCTCCCCAGTGCTTAGTCCCTTCCTCTATTTCTGGTACCAAATGTAAGTTGGAAGACTAACTCACATTTGTCTACTGGTGCAAAATATCATTAGTTGTAAAGAAATTGATTTTTAACATTAGCTTGAGTTAAGCATCATTGAGAAGGTAAATTTGTTGTGATTTGCTCCACACAGTGTAATATATTCTAAAGCCAAATAGAAATGAGTTTCACATTGTCTATATCTTTGGATTATTCTAATCACATTCTCTTCCACTAACATGGGAAATCAAGGATCAGTTGTGCCTGTGGAGAACAGCCCTGGCATGTCACAGCTGGGAGGGACTTCAAGGATCATATATTCACTCCCCTGGGTTTTCAGATGAGATAGTCTAGAAATATCCAAAGAGATTTTGCAATTTGGCTAAGACACTGAACTTTAAAGGAACATACTAGAAAGTTGGTGTCCCAATTCCCAGAACAATGATCTTTTTGGCACACTAAACAAATACTCAGTCTTCAGTTTTCCATTCCAGCACTACGACTTGAAAATGTTTCTGGGTATTTTCTCAGTCCCACAGCTCATCTCCTCTGGGGTGGCTATAGGATGGCCTGAACAACCTGGCCTTTCCTCTCTCTATGTGGCTTTTCACTGTTGTTTGAGATGGTCTTCTGTGGTAAAGGAAGGCACAGGGAGGGTGTACTCTGAAGGAGGCTGGGCCATGTTCTCAGTACCAGGCAAGTTCATTTTTAGGGGGAAATGGGAAAGGAAGTGTGTGGAGACTTGGTTTACCATGGTACAGTCCACTTCTGGTTAGGACCAGGCCTTATGCTTAGATACTTCAGAGCATTTGGGAAAACTTTAGGGATACCAAAACAAGAAATGAAATAGGAATCAGACAGGGTCATTCTTCAGTTTTGGAATATCGGAGACTGTGGACTTTGAACTAGCTTTATCTATCTTCATCTCCTGTTCCTGGAATTGATATGTACACTTTGAGGGTTGTAGACAAATTGTAGTGTCTTCAAAGGAGAATAATGAGCCTGTTGAAGAGACTTCAAGCCATTTCTAGGGAGGAACATCTGAAAACATACTGCAATAGATAAAATACATAAGCAGAAATGAGAATCCAGCTGTCTTCTAACAAGCCAGCTCTTCCCAGACAAATATCTGATGACTAGGGGCATTTGATCATAGTCTTCAGAGAAATGT